ATTCATCCCAAAGGTGTTCTATCGGGTTGAGGTCAGGGTTCTGTGCAGGCCAGTCAAGTTCCTCCACATCAGACACACTCATCCATGTCCTTATGGACCTTGTCATATTGGACTAGGAAGCGGCCATCCCCAAACTGTTCCCAAAAAGTTGGGAGCATGAAATTGTCCAAAATGGCTTTGAATACTGCAGCATTAAGAGTTCCTTTCACTGAAACTAAGGGGCCAAGCCCAACCCCTGAAAAACAACCCTACACCATAACCCCTCCTCTACCAAGTTATACACTTGGCAAAATGTAGTCAGGCAAGTGCCGTTCTTCTGGCAACCGCCGAAGCCAGACTCGTCCATTGGATTGCCAGACAGAGAACCGTGATTTGTCACTCCAGAGAACATGTCTCCACTGCTCTAGAGTCCAGTGGCGGCGTGCTTTACACCACTGCATCTGACACTTTGCATTGTTCTTGGTGATGTTAGGCTTGGATGCAGCTGCTCGGCCATGGAAACCCATTCCACAAAATTCTCTATGCACTGTTCTTGAGCTAATCTGAAGGCCATGCGAAGTTTGGAGGTCTGAAGCTATTGACTCTGCAGACAGTTGGCGACTTCTGCACACTATGCGCCTCAGCATGCGTTGTCCCCGCTCTGTGATATTACATTTCTACCACTTTGTGGCTGAGTTGCTGTTGTTCCAAATTCCTTTCACTTTATTATAATACCACTAACAGTTGACCGTGGTAGTAGCAAGGAAATTTCGAATGGATTTATTGCACAGGTGGCATCCTATCATGGTACCATGCTAGAATTAACTGAGCTCCTGAGAGTGACCCATTCTTTCGCAAATTTTTGTTGAAGCAGTCCGCATGTCTAGGTGCTTGATTTTATACACCTGTGGCTATTGAAGTGATTGGAACACCTGAATTCAATGATTTGGAGGGGTGTCCCAATACATTTGGCAATATAGAGTATATACAAGCAAATGTGACAATACAGGGGCACGTCAGAGGATGTGATGTAGTACACAGGCACAAAAGAGGATGTGATGTAGTACACAGGCACACAGGCACAGGAAGTGGGAATGTGGTACAGAGGTACATAGTAAGGCATAATAAAGAGAAATGGGGTAGTAGACCCTCCAAAGATTCAAGTGTTTCAAAAGTTCCCCTACAGTGTATTCATCATCCAAGACTTATGGAATAATTAAAATTGAAAGTTCAGATAGAGTGGAGTCCTGGATTGATATCTACTGTCTGTTAAATGCTACAGTGTTTACATCACTTAAATTGCTAACAGCGAAGTCCCTCAAATAAGTGAAATTATTTTGGAAGCCTGGTTTAGACAGTCAAGTTGGACTTGGAACTTCTGGAATAGATTTAGGGTTAATTTAAAAATGTGAGTATCCACTACCTATTTTTATTGAGTCACTGAAACAGTGATTTGCTTTTCTGCCCTCAAATTCCACCACCCTTTTTCTATCATCTGTCACCAATTGCTGCTAGCAGGAGAAAAGTAAATTAGCAAGAACTGTCAGCTGAATCATTATCTCAGTCCTTGACCCTCCTCCTCATTGTCTCTGGTTTTGCATGTAAAAATACAATTATAAAAGTAGTTTAGTATATGCCATTAATGTATATTGCATTATTGGAGACTACAAATGAAATAAAGTGAGTTGCACTTTCAACCACAATCAAACTCACTGAAAAGTGTCATGGCAGTGAGACATACCTAGTGATACTCACCGGAGATGCTCTTAACCGTTTGTTCGTGCTACACATTTATTATAGTCACATGTCAACTGAAGCTTTCAAAACATCTGTGTTGACTGGGCCTGAAATCTTTCTAGCTGCTTCTTACCCAATTACTTGCATTTGACTTTGTTCCTCAGAAGTAGTTAGCATAAAAATGACAGGTGGCTAACCATAGCCTACGATACTTTGCTCCTGTAAACAGGTTTTCAGAAATATATTATGATAAATGGTATTGCAATGCTGACTGTTTAATATCGCCTGTTTCTTGCTGAGTGGTAATGCTGCCAAAGCCTACAATTAAATCAAGCTCACACTAAGTACATCAAACAGGAGCCAATAATAGCAAAGAGCTCTACTCAGCTCCAGGTTCACTCTGCGCCTAGGTCTCATAAGGCACACATCACTCACTGCTCTCATTTTATGCTTGTCATCAAACTTAATTTGATAAAGATGAGCTGAGTGTTCAGTTGATTCGCACGGATAATAAATCGGAAACACCAAAGCCGGAAGGCAGTTGTCAGTCAAGATTAATGACAGTTGCAGACACATAAAACCTGGAACTATTTCACTGTGAAAAGTACAGAAGTTTTACTGTGCATGATTTGCACCAGCATCTACCAAGGGGGACTTATCGGTAGAGTTGCCCGACCCACCAGGAAATTTATTTCTGGCTTTGAGCCTGATGTAAGGACATAATTTTTCATGTAATTCTAAGTTTTATGCAATAGGTGGTGCTATAAGACAGTGGCATACTTCCATATGTCCTACTTCAAGAAACTTTAAGAAATGTGGTTTATGAACCATATGGTACATATGCATAGGTACCACTGAACCTGTGTGGTACATACACACAGACTGTGATGCTTATACATAAATCACTTGCAGATGACCGGGGTTGTGCTGAGGTAGTTTGCACACCCTACGGACTATTTGCAAGGTATTAAAATTGCTACATGCATGTAAATGAGTATGCAGACTGGGTTACATTAAGTAGATCCTCGAAGCACAGGAAAAAAGCCAGGAGACACTATGGACAGTATATTTACCAAAGGACACACATTCACACACGGTCAAGTTACAGACACTAATTGCCCTAAAACCAGTGCACCAAGAGAACACCCCAACACTCAACCACACAGCTGGGGGGCGGGAATAAAATCCATGATCCTAGGAGCATGAGGACATGGTACCACCCACTGAGCCACCACACCTTGTATCCAATAAACAGTATTTTTTATTGTTCTAAGGTCATTGGATTATTGCAAGGTCAGATTACAATCTCCATTCCCGTGTGATCAGTTACCTGTGGCGTAATACACCTGCATTCCCTCTAGTAAGACCCCTGCCACATGTTCAAGCATTGCGTGCCAACAGCCCAAGTTTTATTACTCGAACTTAGGGCTGGGGGATGTGTGATATCAATATTCACATTACATGTTAAACACATGCAATTCAACACATCGCTAGGAACACAGTAGTCAGCTGGGTTGAGATTATGCTTGGCTGGTGTCAAATTTTTCATACCATGAATCCGTCCAGACAGTATAGTGTGATATACTGTATTTTCAAAATGTCATTTTGAGGTACACTGGCAGTATTTTAAAATGTTGGCAGTAAAATTCAGTGGGGGGGCTGAAGGCGGGGGGGGGTCCTCCTGATCAGATTTCCAGAAAGCAGATCATCAATAAGTTTTGCTGAAACATTTTTACTTTGTCACAGGAAATAAAACTTAGCAAGTGCTGTGCGTGTATGACTATGCATGTGATGGATAAAGAATCTTGAATCCTTTGCAAGTTTAATGATTCTTTCTTTTCATGATTATGTAGTATATATTTAAAAACATCAGTTTACCTCCACTACTTTTGCATGATCGCTGCATGCGTTATCTGAGAAAATCATTATTTCGAATGTAACCTGAGGGAGCAAAAACGTGGACTGTCTGTGGGTCCCCAAGGACCGGATTAGGAAACACTGCACTTTGCTATGGTGTTAGTGATACTCCTCTCTGTCATCAAACCTACAGTTAGGTCTTACTTCCTAACTCCTATCCCCATGTCACATATTAATTCTCCAAGGCTTACAGGGCATGCAGAAACCTGGAGATGGCCGAGTGTCCTTTGATGCACTTAAACTGATAGTATACTGACTGACAACTGAACATACTTCTCAGCAGAGAACAGTGGAATTCTTTTTTAAAAAACATAACTGTGCATCAGATGTGGGGCTAAGACCAAAGTGATGACAACACAACCTCAAGTCGGACGATCTAGGGTAGGGGTGTCCAGTCCAGTCCAGTGTTCTATCTGCAAAGTGCCGGTGTGTATGCAGCTTTCTGGGATAACCTTTATGTCAGCTGCTCAAACCCACGTGTGAAGACTTTTCCGCCAGTCAGTCCTTTAATTAGTAATCTAAACCTGCATACACAAAGGCCATTTCTGGGTAAGTTTGCCCACCCCTGATCTGGGAACTACATTTCCAACACACTGTGGTCTTTATCCGTGGTCTGAGGATTAGAGATTTGTACGTTTATTTACTTCATACCCAGTGTAAGAATTAGTCTGCAACTGTGTGAGGAACTAGTTCATGAAAGGAAACTTCTCCAACCCAGATTCAAATTGAAAGTGATATATGTGGCCAATATTTCCTAGCAATTATCCATCTGTCCAACTTCTTAAGGTTCTCCAAGTGAAGGTCATGGGGAGGCTGGAGTATGTCCCAAGCAGCAGAGGGCACAGGGCTGGGTGTTACTAGATAGGATTCCAGTCCATCTAAGGGCATTCAGAGCAATTAATACTGTCAAGTAGTGTATCGTTGTTTTAGTAATACTCGTCATTTTAATACAGATAAATTTGAAGATACTGTAAAAACAAAGTTCTCTCTGTAATAATTGCTGCAGCTTCAGAACTCTGGGGTTCAGTTGCTACCCTGGCTGTGTGTGTGCAGAATATGCACATTCTCCTTGTATTTGTATGGGTTTCCTCTTAAAAAACATGCAGCTGTGTGAATCGGTGTCTGTGAATTTCCCATTGCATGTGACTGCATTCCTTGTGATGGACTGACATCCCATGTTGGGTGTTTAATACCCAGTGCCATGTGTTTTCTGGGTTTGTGTCCACGTAGAGGGTTACAGTTTCCACTCCATTTTATTTGTTTTTAATTTAGTGAACCGTCATGCTCATACAATACTCATCAGAACAAATTCATGTGTATGGCCCCTGAGAACAGCTAAACTCATCAGTGTTTCTGAGTTCATGCAGGTGTACCTGGCTTAACGTGAAGTGCACAGCCATGCGGTGGGTGGGTTGGTGTGGTTTCCACTCCTCTTTCCACCACTGTGCAGGCGGACAAACTCAGCTGAGCAATTAAACGCCAAAGCAAATGAAACAGTGGAGCAGAAGCGGCCTATTAATTACAGCTCAGGGGTGAGATGGGCACCTAATTATGGGCTCTATGTGCTGTGTGTCAGCTCTTCCGGATGTGGAGGCATCTGTGTTGCATCTCCAGCTATTGTGTGTGTAATTGTCACACAGTGTGGTTCTGAAGCTGTGTGTGTGTGTGTGTGTGTGTGTGTGTGTGTGTATATATATATATATATATATATATATATATATATATATATAT